GTACCGTGTAACATAGTGTGTGTTGTGGGCACACTGCACACTGTGGTGCATGTCATGAGCACACATGTGTACCACAGTGTGTGTCGTGGATGTACTGTGTAACATAGTGTGTGTCATGGGCACACTGTGTACTGTGGTGCATGTCATGGACACATATGTGACCACAGTGTGTATCATAGATGTACTGTGTAACATAATGTGTGTCGTGGGCACACTGTGCACTGTGGTACATGTCATGAGCACACATGTGTACCACAGTGTGTGTCGTGGATGTGCTATGTAATATAGTGTGTGTCGTGGGCACGCTGTATACCGTGGTACATGTCATGAGCACACATGTGTACCACAGTTTGTGTCTCGGATGTACTGTGTAACAGTGTGTGTCGTGGGCACACTGTGTACTGTGGTGCTTGTCATGGGCAATTGTGTGTATCACAGTGGATGTACTGTGTGCATGTCATGGAGGTACTGTGTAACATAGGGTGTGTCGTGAGCACACTGTGTAACATGGTATGTGTCATGAGCACATGTGTGTACCACAGTGTGTGTCATGGAGGTACTGTGTAACATAGGGTGTGTTGTGGGCACACTGTGTACCATGATACATGTCATGAGCACACGTGTGTACCACAGTGTGTGTCATGGAGGCACTGTGTAATATAGTGTGTGCCGTGGGCACACTGTGCAGTGTACATGTTTATGGTATGGTGTGTATAGGGGTAACACATATACTATGATGGCATGGACACACATGTGTGGTACAGTGTGTGTCTTGGGCACCTATCCACCTATCTGTGCTATGACAGGTGTTGTGGGCACACGGTACTGTAGTGCATGTTGTGAGGACATGTATGTGGTATGGTGCATGTTGTGGGCACACAGTGTACTATGGTGTGTGTCATGGGCACACCTCAGGTGAGTTCAGGGAGGGCACCCAGGTGCCCACAGCATGGCGGCTGGCCCTATTCCTATAGGTCGGTGGTGCCTGTTACCACCACTTTCCTGCTGGTCACTGCAGCACTGCGCTGCCTGTAGGGACCTAGAGGGGGCGCCAAGCTCACCCCAGTGCAGCAGAATCCATGCAAGGTCTGGGGAAGGGACATCCACTCTAAAGAGACCCCAGAGGGCATCTTTCCTGAAAAGAAAGGCAGAGGTGCCCTGTGGCCCTGTATCCCACTGTGATGGTGCCAATGGAATGGCCCTTGTGGCAGGTGCCCATAGCAGAGAACATGTGAGACAGGGTTTCCTAATAACCAGACCCAGCTGTTGTGCACAAGTGGCAGTCGTCCCCTAAGGATGCCCGCTGCTGACAGCCAGGCCCAGGTGTGGAAAGCTGGCTCTGTGTCCAGCTACCCAGTCGGGTGCTGCAGGAACTTGTGCCTTGGTGCCTTCCCAATGCCTTCGTGGCTCCGTCCATTTAGACTCTGGCCAGTCGGTGCCAGACCCCCACCCCCCAAGGCACAGAGCATGGATGGATAGATTCCCGGTAGTCAGTGCCAAGTGGGCAGGGCACACTGGCCACAGAGGCTGCACCCAGGCCTGGAACTTCAGTGGAAACTGAGAGAATAAAAGACTCCAGAGCCAGCTAAAAACAAAGTGCATCCCCAAAGCAAATGCCTGCCCTTGGCTGGTAACTACCATTAGGAATAAAATCAAAATGTACCACTCACAGTATTAACACCAGCAGACACCGTAGGAACTCCAGGCAGTGGAGATTTGGCAGCAAGGACAGGGGCACAGCCAGCCACAGGCGTCCTATGGAGACTGACAGGGACCTCTGAGGACAGGCCACACACACAGCGGCATCGTGCATGGCACAGCCACTGTTTGTCAGCTGAAGAAGAAGTGCACCAGAGGGAGGCGCTATCTTTGGGTGTAGAGATGCTGCTTTGGGGAACAGTCAATCCATCTCTGGTGAACATAAAAAGCCGTTGCAGTTACAATGGAATCTCGGTCATTTGGGAGCTTCTGTTCTGAACAGGAATGGGAGAGCTTATACGTGGGTGTTTATCTTTTTAAATCTAACAAATTTGAAAATAGATAAACTATTTTGGAAAGAAAAACAAAATGAAGGGTAACTTGTCCTCCAGATAGTAAGTACACAGTGGAGCTGCTGTCATTAAAATGGCACAGTCCCGATATCGGGGAATGAGGCGAGGACCAGCCAGCAAGAGGGGCAGGAGGGCCAGGCCCAGGGACCTGGCACGGGAGGACAGTTTTTCATAGGTAGTGCCAGCATCTTCGGGGTGCCCCCAAGCTCACACCCACAGCATGCCAGCATGGAGGCAGACTTCAAATGAATCAGGGCTAGAGATCTTAAATTATAAAAGTATTAGCAGAGGCCAGATGTGGTGGCTCATGCCTGTAATCCTTGCACTCTGGGAGGCCAAGGTGGGTGGATCACCTGAGCTCAGGAGTTCGAGACCAGCCTGAGCAAAAGTGAGACCTCATCTCTTAAAACTAGTTTGGCACTGTGGTGGGCACCTGTAGTCCCAGCTACTTGGGAGGCTGAGGCGGAAGGATCTTTTGAGCCCAGGAATGTGAGGTTGCTGTGAGCTATGATGCCACAGTACTCTACCCAGGGTAACAGAATGAGAATCTTGTCTCAACAACAACAACAAAAAAGTATTAGTGGAAACAAAGGAAACCTTTTTTATTGCTTGGGGCACAGAAGGCCCCAGGAGGCAGCTGAAGCACAGAGATGGCAGCTGTCACTGTCACAGGTGCTGCAGGGGGCCAGAAGACACGTGAGGTTACTGGATGCACAACCAGCATTGGACCAGGGCCACCATGGCAGGGCACGCACGGCAGACGGCCACTTGGTCCAGAAAGCAACAAATCCGTGAATGGGCATTTGGTGGAAAAACTTAGAATTGCAAGTTGACAAGGACAAGTGTATGGTCTCATTCATGATCATGAAACACAGACTGAGTCATACTAGGTCCTGCTATAGACTGGCTATGTCAGAGAACCAGAGCACCGTGTGGAGCGGGACCTGGCCAGGGCAGGGTGTTTGCGCGACTCAACAGCAGCTGACCTGGGAGCACCCTGGGCCCAGAACCCGACTCCTCTATACAGCACGAAGCACAGAGATTCCCACACAGAATGTCCTGACACATCAGCTACATCAGCTGAACACTGAGAAGGGTGCCAGTACTGGGGCTGGGCCCTCATGCACCTGAATACACTGTTGGGACTCCCAGGGGATTGGAGCCCAGCTCAGGCCCACCAAGCATCTTTAAGGACTCTCACACGTGCCTGGACACGCAGTTGGGGCTCCCAGGGGGTCAGAGTCAGCTCAGGCCCTCCATGTCTCTTTAAGGACTCTCAGAGTGTGGGCAGGTGGCAGGCACCCCAATGGGCCGGGAGAACCACAGGGCTGGCAACACAGTGGCCATTGTGCTCTGACCTGAGGTGCAAGGTGGGGACTGCAGGGCCAGACCATGTGCAAGCCAAGCCTCGAGGGGGTCCCTGGAAGGTGTCGGGGTGCAACCAGCAAGGGCTATGGAAGACACCAGCAGCCTATACCCCACAGGCCTTTAGGACATGGGGCAGGGTACAGAGAATTCCCCACTCAGGGTGTGGGGCCATGTGTGCGGGAAAAGCTGTGAAAGAATTGAAGTGCAGAGTGAGGGCCTCAGGAAAGGGAAGGCAGGGCCTGGTTGCCACCAACGCGGGCTAGGGCTGGAGCACCTTGCCCTCTTAGCCACGGGGCCCTGGGGGGAGGGTCTCATTCTTCCTGGGATGCTTTTTATCTTATGCAAAGAGAACTTCTTTGGAGAAAAAGGTGTTTGTGGCAGAGCCAGTGACTCTGGGCGTGCCAGGCCTGAAGGGCCACACTCATGGAGAGAGGCCTGTGAGAGACAGGGCAGGGCAGGCAGCTGGTCCTGGGCTCTCCAGACACAGAGCTTCCGGTGAGAACTGGACAGTCTGCAGGGCATTCTGTGTAGGCCTTACAGCCAGCTGCAGAGGTGGCTCATCTGCGAAAGATCAGAGGGAAGGCCTAGGCCGCGTGGACCAGACCAACAGCCATTCCAGGTCCTACAGTAGACACCAGGGGCTGTATGAGGGACTAGCCTCACCTCTGGAAGGGAGTGTGGTGCAGTGGGGGCCCCAGCTTGTGTTCTGGGTCCACACATATGCTGGGACCAGCCTCCCTGGGCTCCACTCCTGCTGGTGACATGGGACAGAGAAGCCATGTGTGCTGCTCCAGGATAACACTGGCCAGGCTACCCTTAGAGCCCCCGCAGGCTCCAGGGAGAATCTCCCCCACTCCCTTCGTCTCCCTGACACCCTGAAGGAAGCTGGTCCTGGGGAGCAGGGGAGAGGACAGGCCTAGGCCCAGCTAGGCAGGTGCCCACACTGACACTCCTCTCTCCTGCATGATGACCCTCCCTCCCTCACTAACACCTCTCCTTCCCTCACTGATGCTTTTACCTCCTGCAGGCACACATCTACTCCCTGGGCGCCACGCTGAAGGCCGCCCTCGAGTATGTGGCGGAGCCCGCTCTAGAACCCAGGCTGAGCCACGACCTGGATGTGCTGCTGGGCCAGATGCAGGCGGAGGACCCCAGGGACCGGCCTGACCTGGAGGTAAATGTGCGGCTGCGCCCTCACCTTCCTGAGGCAGAGCCCCAGCCTCCCACTACCACGTGTACTGTGCATGTGTGCACACATGCACGATCATGGACACACATGCACGCACACGTACCGGCCGCACTGCCTTCTGGGAGTGAAGACCTGATTCCCCAGAGAACACTTTTGTTGCTAGCCATGGGCTTACAACTATTGCAGGCCAAACAGGGTCACCTGGCCCCTGCGAGTCCGGGACGCTTTGCCTTTTACAACAGAAAATGGGCAGGGCGGGCAGTGGCAAGCCCTGGGGACTATGGTGTCCCAGAGGACAGCCCCCCACGACCCCCCTGCCTGTCCGCAGAGCATCATAGCGCTGTGCCAGGAGAAGATGCAGCTGGCGTCCTCCTGCCGCCTGTGCCAGAGCCTCTCTGCTGCGGGGAGGAGGGTGCTCTCCATCGAGTCCTTTGGAGCACTGCAGGGTGAGCACTCCTGGGTCCACATGGGTGTGTGTGCACGTGCACACGTGATGTGTCTACACATACGCTTCTGCAGTGCTATGTGCATTGCACACATATGCATGTGCATAGGAGGGTTCACACTTATAAACATGCACATGGGAACACATGTAAACCTGTGCACATACCCACTCAGTTTGCACACCCATTGACACAGATCACATGCACACTCACATTCATCCTAATGTACTCACGTACCTTAAAAACACCCACACTCGGCTCGGCGCCTGTAGCTCAAGTGGCTAAGGCGCTAGCCACATACACCTAAGGTGGCGGGTTCGAATCCAGCACGGCCCGCCAAAAACAACAACAATGGCTGCAACCAAAAAAATAGCCGGGGGCGTTGTGGCAGGTGCCTGTGGTCCCAGCTACTTGGGAGGCGGAGACAGGAGACTAGCTTGAGCCCAGGAGTTGGAGGTTGCCGTGAGCTGTGATGCCATGGCACTCTACCCAGGGGGACAGCTTGAGGATCTGTCTCAAAAAAAAAAAAAAAATCCACACTCATAATCACATGTACCCCCATACTCACACCTGCTCACAGTCATACATACATGCAAATCCATGCATGTCTATGCTTCACTCCCACATTCTCACACACATTTACACGTGCATACATGCTCACACTCATGCTCAGTGACACCTTGCAGCTTTGCAGACCCCAGGCAGTTAGACCTAAGGGTTAAGATCACATTCAGAATTGCCTGATACCAGTGTGGGTCACCTGTCCTGGCTCATGGGCTCAGTAAATGGACGTAGCAACCTCTTCCAAAGCCTGTCTGTCTGGCAACATCATGATGCCACTGCTGCTGCCACATCTTGAGTTCTCTAGGCTCATGCGGGGCCCACTGCAGTCTCAGGCTGCCTCCACATTGCCATCCACAGTGTGCAGCCCCAGAGCCTCAGGAAAGTAGCATCACCATAGCCACATGGAGCCCACAGTGTCCAGCAGGTGGCATTTCCTCCCAGACAGTGTTTGCCACGCTGTGTCCCAGGCGGGCAACCACAGAGGCACGCAGAGGGGTGCACTGTTAAGTACAGGCTGCAAGTATCCAGAGCTGCGCACCCCAAGTGTGGAGGACCATCTGCCACAGTGTCTGTGGCCAGATTCAGTTTCTTCCTTTGGGGACTATCACTATAGTGGGACAGCAGTGCCCTTTGGCTGAGATAATTAGCTGACCCAGGGCTTTCATGGGGCCGCCCAGCAGGAAGCCTGGCCTACCCTGGAGAGAGGACAGGACATGGGAGGCTGAGCTGGGCCGGGTCCTAGGGTGGCTGGAGATGCCTTTCCAGCTTGGCCATCTGCTCTGCAGTAACTATGTCTGGCTTTGTGCAGATGTTGGGGAGAACGTCTGGCGGCAGAGACCTGCTCCCAGAAGCACAGGGCCCAGGAGACCACCTGGAGACCGCAGCACTGACTCAGAGCCCCTGTCCCCAACCCCTGCAGGGCCAGAGCCAGAGACCAGCCCCCAACCCTCCACTCCCACTCCTTTGCCACACACTTCTGTGAGAAACAGTGACAGTCACACCCAGGAGGGGCTGGCCAGCCTCTGTCTGGACACTGGGGGGCCCCTGGATGAGCTGGACAGTGACCTCAGGAGGGGCCACCTGAGGAAAGTGCAGACTGTCCTTAGGCTCTTGCCCGACAGCCCGGAGGCCAGCTCTCTCCACTTGTCACTGGCCAGTGGGGAAAACCAGCTGCCCACATCCGAACTCTTCCCTCCAGACCCTGGGAAGATCTTTACAGAAGGGAAAAGTGAAGCCTGTAGCTCCAGGGCATGGCCTACATGCAGACCACGGTCTGAGCAGGACCCCACATCCCAGCTAGAGGGGGATCCCAGTGCAGACTGCAGCAGGGATAAGGGACCTGGGGGGCCAGGCAACTCGGGATGGCCTGAGGCCTCACACCCTGGCCGGAAGCTGACAGAGGACAGACCCTCACCCTGTCCCAAAGACCCTCATGAGGCAGGCCATGAGGCTTGGATGCCTAGAGGAGACAAGGGGACTCTGGAAAGAGCCGGACAGCCAGGAGCTGCTGCCACGGAGGAGGTGGGTGAGCAGGGCTCTGTGTGGGGGGCAGGTGGGCAACTGGGTCTGCCCTTCTCCAGGGCCTGGGGTGCTTTTCTTATGCAGGCAGGTGGCCTCAGCCTTCACTCTTCCATACGAATTAAGGTTTCATCAAGCACCCTGTGTTTAAAGGAAACTGTGACCACAGCTGGGGCAAGACTTTTGCCCCAGTGTGAACCCTGGACAGAGTGCCTCTCACACCCTCCCTGGAGGTGGATGCTCACCTGTAGATGACCCAGAGGGCAGCTGCACCCTCGGCCCCACCCTACAAGGCCATCCTGAGGGTTGATTTTCTTCCCCAGATCTTGGGGTTATTTCAGGGCCCTATCTCCCCAATCCTGACACTAAACCAAAACAGTGGGTACAGACAGTCCATACATCTACTTGGTTTACGAAGGACACCAGGACGTGTCCGTGCCCAAGTGGCCCCCAGTGCACCCTTAGTGATGCTGGGACTTTGTGCAGCTACTGGGACAGCCCCAAGGTAGGACCAGCCCCTAGGTCCACAGCCCCTGGTGAGGGGCAGAGGACTCTGCTTGGACCCAGCCATTCTGAGAGGTTCGGGTTGTTTGTGTCACCATGGTGGTCTGAGCAGGCTGGCCCCTTGGCCCTAGCTGAGGACACAGACCAAGCCCTGCCACTACTTGGCTATGTGGCAAGCCACCCCATTCTACATCCCCATGAGCTCCTCAGAGTGAGGACTCAGTGGCCCAAGGACCATGCTCCTTCCCACCAATCCTGTTGACCCAAAGGACACAGCACAGGACTCAAACTTTCATTCACCTCCCAATAAGCATGTCTTTGCTGGGCTTGATAACCCCACAAATGTGCCCTACCACCCTCTCTAGTACCACCTGCCACCTTCCCATGCCCAAGAGCCTCATGATCGCCCATCAGGTAAACTGAGGCACTGGCTGGCTGAGCTACCTGCTGGAGGGTAGCACCTCTGAGGGGCAGTACTGAGGTCTCAGCCTCCCAGCCTCAAGACCAAGTGGTGCTGGATGCTGGAGTTGCAACCACCTGTACCTCAGCCCCTGGCATAGGGCACAGCCCTGCAGGCATCAGGGCTGATCCAGAGCTAGGGACACTGCAACTTCACATGACACATGCAGGCCACCAGCCAGCAAGCCGGGAGAGCCACAGGGCTAAAGCTACTACACCATGGCTCGGAAAGGGGTCCTGGGAAAAAATGGCGGCCTCTGGAAACCTCCACTAAGTGTGCGCTTCTGAGGCCCATGGTTGATGGCCTTGGTCCTGGCTGTCCAGCATGGCCTCAAAGTGGAGAGCCACCTTCCTGGCTGAAGGCACTTTTTTTACTTCAGGATGTGTGTGTATTAAAATACACATAACAAAATTTATTGTTTTAACTATTCTATTGTTTGAGACAGAGTCTCACCCTGAGTAGAGTGCCCTCATGTCATCACAGCTCACAGCAACCTCAAACTCTTGGGCTCAAGTGATACTCTTACCTCAGCCTCCTGAGTAGCTGGGACTACAGGTGCCCACCACAACACCTGGCTACTTTTTCTGTTTTTAGTAGGGTCAGGGCCTCACTCTTGCTCAGGCTGGTCTTGAATTCCTGAACTCAATTGATCCTCCCACCTTGGCTTCCAGAGTGCTGGGACTATGGGCATGAGCCATGTGCTGGCCTCAAGTGCACAGTGCATTATGTGTGTCCACTCTGCTGTGCTTTCGTCAGCAATGTCCATCTCCACAATGCTTCCCTCCATTTGACCATAAGCTTTGCCCATATTAAACCCTTTCCCACACCCCCAGCCCCTAGCACCACTATCTACTCTTCATCTCTGTAAATTTGATGACTAAGAGTCTTGGAGGTCTAGAAGCCATGTGTAAATGGAGTCAGCGTCTGTCATGCTGTGACTGGCATGACAACCCCGGGATCCATCCACACCACTCATTGTCAGAACCTTCCTCCTCTCTGAGGCTAGATGATAGCCCACTATGCAAGGGGCCCCGTTGGCTCGTCCACTCGTCTGCTGATGGACACTGGGCTGATACCACCTTTTTGGCTCCTGCAACCTGCCACTGTGAACATGGGTTTGGTTTCTGAGGCACTGCCAGAACATTCTACATGCAGCACCAAGGGCTCCAGTTTCCCACATTCTTGCCAGGCTTGCTCTGATGTCAGGACACCCCTACCCCTCTGTCAGATGTGTCGGGTGGTTCTCGCCCTGTGGTGGCTGACGATGCTTCTCTCCCACAGTGGGTGTCCCTGCAGGACCTCCTGGGGCAGCTGGGCCGGCCCCTCCAGGAGTACGAGTTGTGGGCCCTCTGCCTCGCCTGCCTAGGCATGCTGCGGACGCTCCCCGAGCACCCAGGTGACGTATCTCCCCTGCCATCCTGCATGTGCCCTGCCCTCACCCATACCTAGATACCCCAGACAGCAGGGACACTGTCCACTCTGGGGCTAGGGGTAGGTGCTCACAGGTGAGCCTTCATACCAGGGTCCTACAGCAAAGAGAAATGGGGACCACACCACAGCCTGGCCACGCATTCTCAACAGGGTGACACAGTCCCCAGGAAGACACACATGGGCTTACAAAGGTGTGTGTGTGGGGGGGTGTCTAAGACATCGCACTGGTTTGTGACTCTCAAAGCTCTCAACCTGCTGGAGAGTAAGACAGGTGGACAGAACATAGCTGCATGGTGGGTGATGAAGACAGAAGTGCTGGGTAATCAGAGGGATGTAGCTATCTGGCCCCAGCATTCCTTTACCCTGTGGCCATAGCCCTCAGGCCAACTCAGGTGGGACTTGTGAACCACAAGGTAATTGACTGGGCCCCAGCCCCCTTGGAATCACCCTCTGGGGCAGTCCTCAGCTCAGGACCCTCCATTTCCAGCTCGGGGTATGACATGGGCACACAGTTGGGGGATAGGGGGCAGCTCAGAGCCCTAGCACTGTACGGCAGGCAGCCGGCCCATGTATAGGGGTACCCCACCCAGTGGAGGCTCCTTAGACCCCAGAGAGCAGGGTGGCACCCAAGCCTGCTGCTAACTACAGCTCTGTTGCAGCCTACCTGTGTCTGGACTCCGTGCTGGTGGCCGAGGACGGTGCTGTGCTCTTCGGGCCACCCCCAGCTGATGGTGGGTGTTCGGGGCAACCAGGGCAGCAGCAGCTGTGGGATGGAAGGAAGACTAAGCAGGCCCTTCTTACACAGGCTCTTATGATGCATTCTTCCTGGCTCCCGAGGTGGCAGAAAAAAGGCTGGTGACTGAGAAGGTAACTGGGTCCCCCCAAGGCCTTGCCCCAGCCCAGGGCTGCCATACCCACTTTCCATCCATGTCAGGCTCAAGAGTCGCGGGGCTGGGGCTCTGGCTGGGGCTCTGGCTGGGGTGTCCCCGACACAGCTTCTATGTGTGCTGGGCCGTGCCTCCTAGCATTCAAGAACCAAGGGCTATATCTCAGGAATATCTGTGAGGCACTCAGTAAACACGGCCATCATTAAAAGTTAAATTACACAAATTGTACATGTAATATAATTGAATAAATTACATTCAAAGCTATGGTAGACGCTCCACTCTGGGGAGCTGGACATGTGCCCACCCAGCCAGACACCCGCACACCAAGGAGCAAACAAGCCAAGAGGGTCGGCAGGGGAACAAGGAGGAGCAGCCAGAGACTTAGGACCAAGGAGCAGCACCCTCAGTGCCCTGGACTTTTTTATGACCTGTGCGTGGAGATTAGGAGCTGAAGGCAGCGCAGGGGAAACCAGCAGGCACAGGCAGCAAGGTTCCTGGGCTCTATAGCCAGAGACCAGGAAGGAGCAGGCTGACGCAGTGTCTTAGTCATGAACTGCCCTTCTCAAGCCAAACACCACAGGAAACACTATTCCGCAGCCACAGGCCAGCAAGACTGAGCTAGAACTGGGACTGGGATTCATGAGACTACAAAGAAGCACCCAAGGCCTTTACAGATGCCCCACCCCACCTGTGAGCACACCCTCCCTGCTGGGGATGTCATAGGAGGCCTGGGGGGAGCAGTAGCAAGGCCAAGAGGAGATGCTCCCCTTCCTCCAGCCAGGACCCACGCCCAGAAGTGAGGAGGACCTTCTGCCCCGTGATGACAAGGCGGGGCCCCTTCCTCCACCAGAGTGCATCAGACAGAGTAGATAAAGGGAGGTTGAAGTAAGATCTAGAGGTTTCTATCATGAAAATGCCCAGTTTCAATTAAAAATCACTTACCATATTAAGAAACATGAAGACTTCAAACTGAATGAAAAAAAGGCAACCAATAGATGCAATCTTGAGAGGACAGAAACGTTCAAAATGACTGAAAAAGATGTTAAAGCAACCATCATAAAAATGCTTCACTGGACCATTACAAAGATGTTTCAAACATGAAAAACAGGCAGTCTCAGCAAAGAAATAGAGGGTAAAAAGAAAAACCAAATGGAAATTTTAAAACTGACTTAAAAACAATGAATGGGTTTAACAGAAGAATAAAGAAAACAGATGAAAGAATTGGTGAAATGGAAGATAGAACAATAGAAACTACACAGTTAAAACACAGACAGAAAATAGGCCAAAAAAATATGACAGAGCCCTATGAACTTGTGGGACTATAACAAAATATGTGATAGTCCTGTCATCAAAATCCCAGAAGGAGAAGAGAAAGAAGAGTAGAGAATAAAAAGTATTGGGGTTGAAAACTTCCCACTTAGGGAAAAACACATAACCTGCACATTCTAAAAGCTGATAAAATCCCAAGCATGATGAATCCAAAGAACTTTACACTAGGTGTGCATGCTGGCTTATTTCTGTATTCCCAGCACTCTAGGAGGCAAAGGCACAGATAGACTGCCTGAGCTCAGTTCAAAACCAGCCTGAGCAAGAGCAAGAGCCTATCTCTTTAAAAAAAAAAAAAAAAAAAAAAAGAGCCAGGCATTGTGGCAGGTGCCTGTAGTCCCAGCTACTTGGGATGCTGAGGCAAAAAAATCACTTGAACCCAAGATTTTGAGGTTGCTATGAACTGTGATGCCATACACTCTGCTGAGGGCCACAAAGTAAGACTCTGTCCACCCCCCAAAAAAAACTTTCCACTAAGACACATCATAGTCAAGCCTCTGAATATAAAGACAACCCTCCCCCAAAAAGAAAAAGAGAAATGCCAGCTTGCATTTATCAGTGTGGGAGGAGGCAATTCAAATGATGGGGGGGCGGTCAAGATGGCAGACTAGAGACATCTCCATGCTGGCTACTCATTATGAGATGGCAAAGTGGACTTCAGCCACTCTGGCTGGGTAATCTGCACAGAAATATCCCTCCTGGGGCACAGTGAAGCAGTAGGAGATTTCAGGAGCCAGTGAAGAGTTCTGGAGCTGAGGAAAACTGATGCAGAAGGCCAGTGCTTGGTATGGGCAGAGGCTGGCCAGTTGGTCAGCTCTCTTGAGGAAGGCTAGGGATGGAAAAGGTCTGTCCTGTAATATTTTGATTTTGGACTGGGCTGCTTGCTGGAGCAGCAAGTAGACTCAAGCAGTGTCTGGCAGCCAGGGTTGAGCACCAGGTGGGGAGGTTCCCCAATCAGCTTGGTAGCTGGTGGAGCACCACCATTGTGGGAAGGCCTCTGGCATGGGAAGAACAGTCTGCGAGGTCCTAGTGCATGGCTGGCTCTTGCATGCCTGCTGAGCTCCAGGATCCACCCTTGGAGTGAGTTGAGCAGCTTCCTGCACCCCCTGGAAGGGACGCTTTGTTGTCAAGGACACTGTGGGGCAAAACTCCTAGGAAATCTGGTGTGAGCTTTGGGACCCACATTCCATGGAGACCAAATACTGACGAAGAGACTAGGCCTGGATTTAGGGCAAAGAAATCAGGAAGACAAAAATCCAATTCCTTTTGCAACTGGAGAGTAGCTTCTGACTCCGTCATATAAAGAAAATCCAGTGTGTACTCTCAATCTCCTAATACCACAGCACCACCTGGTGCCCAGACTATGTATGTACGTATACAAACACACATACACACACACACATATATGTAATATATATATACAGGATGGACCTAAAGTTCGTGTGCAATTTAAAATTTCACATGAACCTTATGGCTATCCTGTATATTGTTTTACATTTTTTGCAACAGTGTCTCACTATATCTCCCTCAGTAGAATGCAGTGACGTCACAACTCACAGCAACCTCCAACCCCTGGGCTTAAGTGATTCTCTTGCCTCAGCCTCCCACGTAGTTGGGACTATGGGCACCCGCCACAATGCCTGGCTATTTTTGGTTGCAGTTGTCATTGTTGTTTAGCAGGCCCAGCCTGCGCTTGAACCTGTCAGCCTCGGTGTATGTGGCCAGCGCCCTACTGACTGAGCTATGGGAGCTGCCACTGCTCATTTTTTGCTTCTTGATTTTCAATTTTCTCTTTAATTTATTTTCTTTCTTTTTTTTTTTTTTTGTAAGACAGAGTCTCACTTTGTTGCCCTTTGCAGAGTGCTACGGCATCATAGCTAATAGCAATCTCAAACTCCTTGGCTCAAGTGATCTTCTTGCCTCAGTTTTTCATTTTTAGTAGAGACGGGGTCGCACTCTTGCTCAGGCTGGTTTCAAGCTCGTGAGCTCAAGCAGTCCACGTGCCTCTGCCTCCCAGAGTGCTAGGATTACAGGCATGAGTCATCATACTCAGCCTTTTTTTCTCTTTTATTGTTGTTATTCTTGTTTAGACTTTTTTTTTTTTTTTTTGAGACAGAACCTCAAGCTGTCCCCCTGGGTAGAATGCCATGGCATCACAGCTCACAGCAACCTCCAACTCCTGGGCTCAAGCGAGTCTCCTGCCTCAGCCTCCCGAGTACCCGGGACCACAGGCACCCACCACAACGTCTGGCTATTTTTTGGTTGCAGCCGTCGTTGTTTGGCAGGCCCGGGCTGGATTCGAACCCACCACCTTAGGTGTATGTGGCTGGTGCCTTAGCCACTTGAGCCACAGGCGCTGAGCCTCTTGTTTAGATTTTTATTGGTTTGGTTATATATTTTTTCAGTTTTACTTTTTTTAATAGCAAAGGATCCTCCATTTTTGCTAAGGCTTTTTAGCCCTTTTATTCCTTTTTTTCTTTTTTATTTCCCTCCTTTTACTCTCTTTTGGTAGAGATTTTTCAACTGTTTTCATCTTTCCCACATAAATTTCTCATATAACAGCTAAGATATGCCTTATTTTCTTCTTTATTTTATACAATTATATTTTTGCTTTTTTGTTGATTCTCTTTTTTTTTTTTTTTTTCATTTCTTTTTTCTTCTATGAGGGCTAGGGAGGGTGTCACAGCATTGATCTGGCTCAAGGAGGCCATGAGCTCACAGTCTTGGGTGTCCCTCTAACTTTGGCCTTTGGAAAGAAGGTATTGGTAGGTATCCACTGTGAACTACTGCTGATTTCTTTCTATGTTTGGCAGTGGTGGGCTCTTGCTTTTCCCCAGCCTGGTAAAAGAGCTGCAGATGTGGTCAGAGCACTATGCTGAACACCATCATTTTTCCTATCACTCTCTTTCTCTTTTAGCTGTCCTTTCCTCTCCCCTTCTTCAATTCTTTCCTTCCATTCCCCCTTCTTCTTTTTCCCTCTTTATCTTTTTTTTCTTTCTCTCTTCTCACTCTTTACTTTTACCTTCTTTTGGGCCTTATACCAAAAGGCCACTTCAACACCTAAGCTCTGAGACAAGGCAATTCCAAACAAAGGAGGTAGCGAGAAGGAAAAAGTAGGAGAAGGAAGTAAACAGAAGAAAACATATGTGAAGAGGAACCAACAGAAAAATTCTGGCAAAAAACCAGAATACAACAACCCCCTAAGTGATTATAGGTAGCTACCACAGAAGATTCCACCTATATAGAATTTTTTTTTCTTTACCATTGTTTTTTGTTTTGTTTTGTTTTTTTTTATTGAATGGTAACTGTGTACATTGATGCACTTTGGGGGTACAGTGTGGTGTTTTCACATACAATCCATGACATTTCCATCAAACTGGTTAACACCTATATAGAATTAATGGAAATGACAGAAAGGCAATTCAAAATACGGATATGGATGGCAAAAACAATAAAAGGAATTGACAAAAAAATGGAAAAGCAGAACCAGAAATGGATAAAAGATATGAAAACTATAGAAAGGCTATGGTAAAGCTTAGGGAATTGAAGCAGTCAATCCGGGAAGTTAAAATGCAGTAGAAAGGGCTCGGCACCTCTGGCTCAAGTGGCTAAGGCACCAGCCACATACAGCTGATCTGGCGTGTTCAGATCCAG